ACCAAGCGCTGATGATCTTCCGCAGGATTTGGCTGTAATTGTAACTTCCTGTTGGAAAGAGGACCCAAACGCTCGTCCCAACTTCACTCAGATAATACAGATGCTTCTACATTATCTTTCTGCAGTTTCACCACCAGAACCAGCTATACCACCAAGGATTTTCACCTCAGAGAATCACGTCTTGCCACCAGAATCTCCAGGTACCAGCTCGTTAATGGCCAAGTGCGATGGCTCGGGTGAGACCCCTAAAACACCAATGGAGAATCAGCCAAGAGGATTCTTCTTCTGTTTTAACCAATGTTACTGATCCCCAAGGGAAAGAAAAAACTGTTAATTAGCCGGAAGGTATTCCAAGTTCAGCTATATTTTAGGAAGCTCACAAAAAGTTTAGCCTATATGTATCGATAGATAACTTAGCTTTTGGTCTTTCTTTGTCTCACCCGCCACAACAAAAGGGTCGAGCGATTAGGGACCCTTTGGATTTAGCTTTTATAAGCCAGCCGGCCAGCCATGTAATTCAGATGTGAAGTTGCTGCAGGAAGATGCATGATCAAGACTCTCTTTTAACACCGAACGCGTTCTGACTTAATGTGAGGAGTTTCTGGATGCTGGAGTTGGGTTGCTGTGATGTATATTATAGTTGTAAAAAATAAGGTCCATCCAAAGGCCTGTACTCCAATCTTTTGTTTAACCTCAAATTGACTCTGTCATTTTGGTGCATTATTGAATTGCTAAATGCAGCTGTTCCATAGGAAGTTAGGAACTTTCTTACATTTCCCTTGGACGTTATATGAATATTTCAAGAACCATAAAAGGTTTGCACTACTAATGTAAACGATAACTAGATGTGGCAAAATTAACTCAATTTTTAGTAAACCATCAACTTGCTTGAGTTTAAACAGGTTGGATTATAACCTGATTGTTGACTTAACTCAACGGGTTGAACTCAAAATGATTCATCAAACTATTGGAAACAAGTCAAAACAGTGTAATCCGACGGGTGAAAATGCAAAGTTAAACTTATGTTTACCCGTAAAACGATGCAACTGAATTTGTAAAGTGGTTTATAGATAAGCGAATCGATTTGACCAAAAAGTAATAAAGAACTAAGATTAGAATTTAGAACTAACATTTAACGGCTAAAATTAAGGAAAATAACAAGTCTGGTTCCGAACTCGGCGTTTTCGAGAGTAGAAGTGGAAATAATAACAAAGCGATGATAAAAGTGTTAATTTGAGAGCTAAATAATAAAGTATGAGAGCAAAATAGTAAAGTATAGCTTGTGCATGCATAATGTTTTATCCCTTTACAATGGCTATTGACCCTACTATTTATGGCTTGACCCTACTAGGATCAAGCCTATCTTAATCTTAAATGAGAATAAAAGAGTCATTGATGAATATATAATTATAGGCCTTGAATGTAAATATTCTCTGCAACGGCCGCTCATTTAATATTAGCGAATATTCCTTCATTGAATGCTATCCGATGGCAAATCCTTGAACTCCCATCGTTTACTACGTTCCCTTCGGAACTTATCCAGCACCGGTCAGTGGTCACACATGTTGTACTCGTCATTAGTTGTTTCCTGACTCGTCCATTACTTACCTTCAGTTCCACGTATCATTTCATCATTTGACCACATGTTATCAACCAATTTTACCCCATACAACTTATACATACAAAACCAAATTTACCTTCACTCCTAACGATAATTATTAATCCAATTTATTGCAAATATAACAGAAAAATAAGTTATAGGAATGGATGAGTATTTGAAAGAAAGGGATAGTAGAGGTTGGTAGACAAGTAAATGGATCAACACAAAATAATTAGGTCTTGGATCTTTTGGCCAGACAGTGAAAGTTAATGCTTTTGGTCCACCACAGAAATCACTCAATAAAAAACAAAGTTTTAGGACAAATGAATCAATCATTAGCATATACAGGACAGTCGGCTGTCGGCCCTATGGCACATAAAAATATTAAAATAAACGCCGTTGCCGGGGATCGAGCCCGGGTCACCCGCGTGACAGGCGGGAATACTTACCACTATACTACAACGACTTTGTTGTTAGTGGTGGCATTGGAGTTTTATTATGATTAATTTATTGTACTTAATTCTAAAATAAATCATTATTAAGAGGTAAAAATGTAATTTTGCATCGAGTGGCAAGCAGCGAGTCGTTTCATAAATGGTACATTGGCATAATAATTAATAAAGCATAAATTCTACCTTTAAAATGTCAAGTGAAATTATGTGTTATACTCATATTTGAGCATTCAAGTGAGGAAAAGCAAAAGAGACTGCTTGAATAAGCACATTTTATAGTTTGATCGCCTAACTGAGGAAAAGGGTATTTTTCATGATCTGATTTTTTTTATTATATAAAAATAAAATAAAATTAAGGGCACGTAGCAGATTTTAGGGGGCATATAGTAGCTTCTAACATAAACTACATATTCACAAAAATTCAATACTTCCTATGATAATAGTCTAATACCAATGACACCGTGCTAGGAGGCGAGGACTACTTTTTATTTGGGAAAATGAAACTCTATAGCCGCTTTTAAAATAATAGTCGAAAAAGTATATTTTTTGTATATATGCATATATATTTTGTATGTTATGTATAAAAATTATAAAAAAAAATTATACATTTTTCGGGTTCCAAATATAAATAGTTTTCGACGCGGGCCAAAAGTGATAATACCTTTTTATTTGAGAAAATATCACTTTATGCCCATTAATTCCAAATTATTTACCCTTTAATGTTCAGACCCAAACTATTTACCACTCTTAACCATACCCCTCAAACTATTTACCGCTAATTCCATATGAGAAACTAACTCCCGCTTCCTTTTAGCTTCTCCAGGACAGTTGTGGCTGTGTCACCATGCCCAACTGGTAGTATTTTATTTCTTCTTATATTATATTAAATAATATTAATATAATATTTTTTTCTTATTCTCATTGAGTTCATTTGATGTGAACTCTAACTTAGCACTCTAGTCACGTAGATAAAGTGCGCTAAATCGATAAGTCGAGTCAAACCATTTTTATTTATCATAATCGATAAACCGCACTAATACCTTATGTAAGTTCATAATGAAATTTGATAGCATTTGGAGTTGATTTGAGGTGATTAGGATCGAAATTTTCAGCCGAAAATCGAAAAAGAACACAACTACCCAATAGTATACTACTACGGTATACAATATGATGGAGTATATAGCTATACTATAACAGTATACTATTATAGTTTACAATATACTGCAACGATATATTGTAATAATCGAAGAAGAACACAGTTACCTAATAGTATATCGCTACAATATACAATATACTATAGGAGTATATAGTTATAATGCAGTAGTATACTATTATAGTATACAATATATTTGTTATAGTATACTGTAACAATATGCAATATACTATAATAGTATGCTGTAATAGTATAATATACTATAATAGTATACTTATTACCCGTAAATTCACTTGCCTTTTCCCTTTTAATTTGCTTTAAGTTTTTACCCAGCGTGAGGGGCAAATTGAAAATGCAAAAAATAAAATAAAATAGTATGCTATATAGTGTAATGGTATACTCTTACAATTGGATTCTTTTAGAATTTTTTGAAATTTTTATTGACAAGTAATATTATTTCAGTTTAATAATTGAATTAATTTTTTTTAACTCTTTGCGTACAATTGTATACCATGTTGGTATAGCTATATACTATACTAACATTATATGTTAGTTAATATTTTTTGGTTGTATTAGCTACATTTAATTGGTACATAATTTGATTTTCTTTAGTAATAATATAAAAAAAAGAATAATAAAAAATAGTGAAAACAGTAAATGAAATTAGATTATGAAGAGAAAAAGAATATAAAAAAAGAAGTTAGATGAAATTAGGAAAGGAAAAAAGAAAAAAAAAACGAGAAAAAAGAAAAGGAGAAAAGAAAAAGAAAAAGAAAGAAGCATAGAAATAAAAAAGAATTGGAGAATAAAGAAAAAATTCCCCACAAAAACTACTATGAATAGGAAATGTAATTAATTTATGAATAGAAAAATAAATGAATAGACAAGAATAAATAATTTTATTTTTTAGGTAATTGTGTCAAAATCCCTTTTTATTAGGTCTCTGCGTAAATTATTGATGGAAGACAAAAAAGTGCATCTTACAAAATGGAGGGGTAATTTAATAAAAAAAACAGTGCGTGCGCATCTGTTCCAAGGAACACGTAAAAAGGAGGGCATTTTCCTATGTGCAATTTTAAGTTTTGTATAAATGGAATCGTTTTTTAATTTCCTGTTTCGACATGCAGATTTCTCTTTTTCCTTCTCTTAACTTGCGTCTTTAAGAATGTTTTTTAAATAATACAGTCTAGAGACAGTTTTTAACAACATTACTATATATACAAAAATAAAGTGTCATTTATAAAACATTTCATGTAAGAATAAAATGACAATAATAACAATGACTATCAGAAGACGTTTATTGGAGTGAATATATAGTGTCATTTATAAAACATTTCATGTAAGAATAAAGTGTCATTTATAAAACATTTCATCTACAACCGATATGCTCTCTGCAGTGAATCCTTCTCTTGGATTTTCTCTTGTTATCCCAACTAGTATACTTACCCGCGCGATGCGCGGATCATTACAAATAAAAACAGTACGGTGAGAGATAGTAGAAACCGAGGTATATTATAGACTAAATTTACCGACTGCATTCAAAAAAATAAAATAAAATAAATAAATAAATGAACTTTCATCTTATGTACTCATGCAAAGGTCAAGGATAAAACTTGTCTCAAATTTAAAAGAAAATAAATATAAATAATTATTTTTTTAAAAAAAAAGCATTCCTATGTTCGGCATAAAGGGTCTCAATCCAAAAGCAGCTCACCCTTACTAAGGCCTTAAAAGGGTAAAATAGGTCGTTAAGCACGATAGATACATGACAACAAAAAAGGATATCAATTCTGGTTTAAATTTAATTTCAGTTTAAAGTCCCAAACAAACATCAAGGCGCCCCAACTCGAACAAAATTCTATTTTAAGCATCTCCAACACAAACCACATAGTATCTTTAATCTTGATCACTTTTCTTCCTTCAAAGTAGTCTTGCATGTAGCAAATAGAACCCGTGCAATGAAACATATGAGGACCCAAAAATAGCTTGAAAAAATTATCCTTGAAAGTATGCTTGAGATCCAAAATAGGGTATTCCCATTTTCTTAAGAAATCAAGTAATAATCAACAAAAATAAATTGCATAATTTCTCGATTTTCTTGTGGACAAATTATTGACCAAGTCTTGAGAGAATCAATAAAACAGTAGCTCAACTCCATCATCCTCTTATTGCATTCGAACTTATCATGCTAGTCTCACCCAATGACAATCTCTCAATAGAATAGCATCAAGTACTACTAATACCACACAGTGAAAAATAGTCAGTAGAGAAAATATGTATAAAATAATGTAACCTACAAAAAAAACTATAACTACTAAAAAAAATACTCCCAACTGCTTTTTTAAAGAAAAATAAACTTTACCCCTACCGACTATTTTTTATCATCCTCGATAAAAGCACTTTTTCTAAAATATGAAAATTTTAAGCCACTAAAAGCAAGTATAAACAAAAAGTTAGAAAAATAAAAAGATTTTTGCCTCATTCGTCATATTTCCAAAATTATTCAAAGCTTCAAAGTACTACACTTACTATTACAATTGAACACTATTGAAGCTTAAACTTTTGGCTTAGCAAAATGAATGCGATTCATATATAAACACATCGATTTTAATAGGAGCAAAACTTTTAGAGCTCAGATAAGTCCAAATATATTTTCATCACTTTTCTTCTAGCATAAGTTTCATATCCTTCTAACAAAGGTTTTAAAGTTACAGTACTAACAAAAAAATTCATCATTTATTTTAACACTTAATTGTATAAAGCTGAAAGCTAGACTTATGATCATGAACCCCAAATTGCATTGGTTAAATAGAATATTTTTCCTAAAGGTTGCAAGCATCATGATGAGTATAAAGTAGATTTACTCTCTTCAAACAAATATTTAGAAGCTGCGATTTTTATAAATATATATATAAGTTATGAAGTTATGAAGTTAAAAGTCAACAATCAGGGTCTTTAAACATGAATATATAGGCTCGCATCAATACTTCATAGTGAAACATAATAACCTATATTTTTTGTAGCTAAAAATAAATTTTAATCTTATAGGTATGATATCTAAACGTTAGCAAAATCCTTCCTTCCGCAACAATACTTATGCAAAATATTTATTTTACATCACAATGGCCAATCCTAATAAAATCACAATAGCTTTTAGACTGTCTGTTATTGACTATAAATGTGATTTCTAAACATTAAAAGGAATAACTAAACACATGTATATTCAACTTACAATTTCAAGCTTCTTGTTTTAATTTAGTCATTATTCTTCTTTTTTAAGAAGAACATGATTTCTTCTATATGGATGACACCTAATTCCTAATTCCTTTTTTTATATAGATAGGGGGAAAATATTTAAGGCATGATAAAAGAATATACCTTAAATATGAGAACGATACTTGTATTCACTCTACTACGAAGAAGAGGTTGATTAGTCAGCATTCGATGGCCATGAGGCAGTTCACTTCCCTTGTGGTAGAAGGAAAATTTCTGCAAAAAAGATGTGTAACTAAGAAATCATGCTTCTTGATTAAACTACAAAATATCAATATTTCTTTGTCAGATATCTCATAAGTCGATGACTCAAAAAAATCTGACTGAAAATCATGTCACGAAATTATCATGGCTCCAGGATATTCCGTCAAATTATATGAGGCACCCCATAATTCAAAGTTTCCCATTTGGCATGTGTTGCTAGCTGGTACCCAACTAAAATAGATGGGTTATTCCCTATTACATTAGATTACAAATGGCAGCCGCACGCGGATGAAAAAATATGTCATTAAACACGATAAGTACAGAACTTAAAAGGAACAACAATCATTAAGGAGTCCAAATATGTAGAAAAGCCTTAATATACTACCTCCATTATTGCGGCAGAGAGTAACAATTGGGTCATGCGCCAAATGAAAGCAAATATTGCACTCGAAGTTGCCAGTATCGCTATAATTACCACTGTTACTGGAGCAAGAAGGACTTGAGGTTTCCCTAGTAGTTGATTCTCCAAACCCACTTGCCATATATCAAATCTAAATATAGAAAATCACTACAATCCCGTAAATGGTTAATTAAATCAACAATTAGCAAACTATCACAATACATATTAATCAATCAACTACACCTCAATACCAAATCTAGTTTAGTCAACAATTGGAATCCTCCATATATTTCAGTACATTCAAAAATTGTGGCGAAGATATAGCCGAGAAAGAGGGTTCTATTGAATTTCCTTCATTGGAAAATTGTACTGCAAATAGGCAAAACAAACTATATATATATATATATATATATATAATTCTTGGTCCGAATTTTTTGAATCCCTTGTTAATATGCTTGGCTCCAGCACTGCTACAATATGTATCCTAAAATCAATTTCTCACTAAACTAAACTTCATCACCTTTTATAACCTATCGCATATATGAAAGATCTACATATAATAACTTCATCAAACAAACACATTGATGGGGCAACAATCATCACAATTTCAATTAGAAAAATTAAACAGCCCACAAAATAAATATTTTCTATAAATTCATTTTTTAACCAATCTAGAGGCGATATGACATAAAAGTTAATTGTTTTGGGAGTGAGAATGTCTATATATTTTACCGTCTCAGGTCAAAATTATGATTCATGAGAGCCGCCAACTTAATGTAATTTTTCTCAAGTATATTTTGCCTTATTATTTCAACATATTCACAAAATTGATTCCAATGCATATTGAGATTGCAGCTAGGGAGTAATAGCGAAGGTGGTATTGATCATCCAACTAATATCTTTCTCAATTTTGAGCAGAGAGAACTTCTTGGAGTCAGCATACACTACCTCACCTTTGTGCTTCCGAATGATCCAGTAAATGACCAGAGGAGTAATTTTGAGAGTAGCTCAATAATCTTATCCTTACATACTCTAGCAGAGCGTCTTTACTGATTCTTTTGCACTCTGTATTTCAGTATGTATCAAAATAATGAGTTATAAAACTATCACACAGTAAAATTTAAGAACAAATTCTTGTTTTAATGGAACTGAAAAATAGGAGTACTTGATTTTGACTTACACATCAATCCACTGATTAAGAGCGTTAAGAGCTTTCCCTGAATAATGTGTGGTATATGCGATTGCTACTCCTTCAGCTAAGTTAACAACTCGCCCGCTGACTAATAGTGCTGTTGCGACATTCAGTATCTAAATTTGCATTTATGCAGAGGCTTGATATGATCAGTAAAAGTTCAAGTTCTACACATTGGTGTATAGAGAAAATCAACCTCATTTGATTTACAATAACATGTAATCTTTCATAGCAAGTATGATATATGATAACTTAAAATACCCAGTTAAAGGGTTAAAATAATTTGTATTGTCAGTATATATAACTTTGATATATAAAAGAACATTTGCTAAGTGATAATCATGTAATTAAAGGGATTCCATCACTACTGTGACAATATATAAAGGGTATTCTGATCCAATATTGCCACGTCATAAGATATGACAAAAATATGTAATATGACCATGTATAGCATATGACAAAAATAAGTATAATCCTAGTATAATGACTTGGCATAAAAGGATCTAAGAACATACCATGACTTACCACATATCATTCAATTGGCCCCTTTTCTTTCACCTAAAAGCATACGCCTTAGTATCTTAACATTGTACCCTGGCTCTCTCTTGCAGGTTCTGTAAAGTGCAGCGAGGTATACATAAATCAATTGCAATGATACACAAATATTAGTTATTACATTATCTGATGAGAAACCTAATGATTCTTCTTATTTTCTTTTTTTGGAGTCAAAAGAAAACAACAACTGAGATGTGCTTGAGAATGTTCATATTTTCAAATTTATTCTGATGATGAATGAAAAAGAAGCAAACTTTAGCAACCACAATCTCCAAATACCGATGAAATTTTTTTCAGAATAAACAAAATAAAGAATATATGTATTGATCTCAGTTCAATTATAGAACAATAACAACAACCCGATTGTAGAACATACTTTGAATTAAATTTGTCCAAAGGTTTCCACAAATCGTTGTGCTAGAAGAACTATAAAAAAGATTCTTACATGGGTTAATCTTAAAACGTGAACAACAACAACAACAACAACAACAACAACAACAACAACAACAACAACAACAACAACAACAACAACAACAACAACAACAACAACAACAACAACAACAACAACAACAACAACAACAACAACAACAACAACAACAACAACAACCCAGTATAATCCCACTTAGTGGGGTCTGGGGAGGGTAGTGTGTACGCAGATCTTACCCCTACCCTGAGGTAGAGAGGCCCACCTTGATCTTGGGGAGACTCGAACTCACGACCTCTTGGTTGGAAGTGGAGGTTGCTTACCATCAGAGCAACCCCTCTTGTCTATAAAACCAAATTAGAGATCTTAATTATCAGACCAAGAAAGCTATAATAGTCACTATTTTACATGAACAGTCAGTACAATTCTTTAAACGTGAATCCTACAAACAAACTCTAAGGAAGATATAATTACAGTGAGACGCTATAGCCCATAGCTATTAGCCTATTTACATGTATCAGAAAAACGGGTGGCTAGTAAAAAACTGAAAAAGGCCAAATATCTGTAAGGCTAACAGCTTATTTGATAGTTGCTGCTAATGGAACTAATGACTTCATAGCCCAACACGTAAGAGTAAAATTCAATGCTTTCAATGAAGTTTGAGGCCGATACATTTGCTGAGTGACAATGTAAAAAATCAGCAAATGAGACCCAGAAGGAAAAAAACATACAAAAAAAACTCAGATGATAAAATTCTTGATGTTCATCACATTTACACTTTTAAGTGCAAAGACTGAAACTTTGAGAACCAAAACAAAACCAAAAAAGGAAAAGAAAACGAACCCAGATGATAAAATTCTCCGATCTTCATAAAAATTACAGATTTAAGTGCAAAAGTTGATATTTGGAGAGAATAAGGTAACGGGTACCTTTGGGTTATTTTTCATAAGACAATGAAGAAAGAGAGCCATAAATTGCAGTTGAAGATATAAAAGCCATTGCCATTTCCCAAACAGAAATCTTCAATTCAAACAATTGCAATTTTTTTCGTTTATTCCAACTCTTTATCAATACAACATTTAACGTGATTGACAATCTTTTTATACTGGAAAAGTATGACCTACTTTTACACCCAAAAAATCTAAAACAATTTTCGCGCAAGAAAATTGGCGTGTAAAGCATCTTCCTTCATAGGAAATTATACTGGCATTTTTTCCCACAAGAATAATGCTATAGATGTACATATAGTAATGGCACCAATGTAGTGCCACCACATAAATTCTCCAATTCAATCAAATGTTTGAAAGAAAGGCATAAATGCAAAAGCGGTGAAAGAAAGTTACCTCTTCCCTCTTATATTTTTGAATGACATTACCGTCAAATATAGGAGCAACACGATATAAAAAAGAACTGCATAAGATAATGACTAATTTACGAACCTGCATAGGAATGGGAAATAAATATAGAAAAAGGGTGGCAATCACTTAAGCTCTAAATGCATCGAGTACTTAGGAAAGAAACCAAAATCTTTTTGTGACATATTATGAACAGAATATTTACATACCTGACAGAGTATTGACCCTTGTAGATGAGAAATTGTGTGAAGAAGGAGCTGGTTGGTTAACAATAGCAAGAGAACTGAACTGTAAAAGTTCTTCAAATCAGAGTGGGAGATCTTATTACCAGCCGCAAGCACAATTATAAATTTGTAGTTTCTTCACTGAGAAAGAAGCAAGGGATGCACCAATTCCTATAAATGAAAATAATAGATTTTTAATGTTATACAGTTAGGTAACACAGTGAAGGCGAAACATCAAGTTTGTTCTGCATCAACCTTTGTAAGTAACGAATTAAAAAGATGCAAACTTTAGCAACCACAATAACACTGATGAAAATAAAATTTTCAGAATAAACAAAACAAAGATCAATATATCTATTGATCTCAAATCTTACCTTTTGAATGCTTGTTCTGCCATGAAACTTATCCTACCTGAATCAGATTTTGGGAAATCAACTACAATGGCAGATTCAGTTCTCTCCTTTCAACTGCCGGAACCCAACGATAAATCCCTCCACAAACATCCAAAGTCTAACCTAATCGTGAGAACCCAACTCAGTAATTTTTACTGCAAATATTTGGAAGTAAGTTTTTCTAATAGTAAAATATAGACAGCTCAATTCAATCTTCGAAATCTCATAATACATAAATATTACAAGCATGTGAATACCTCAACAAACTAATCCACGCTCAACTAATATTTCAAACTTGTCTCAATATAATACTAATAGTTCGTTAGATGGAATAGCAAAAAAGAAAAAAAGATGAAGAAAGTATTTCGAAAAGGATAATTCACATATTTAGACTAAGAGTTCGATCGAACCTAATAGCTTTAATTCAAACATTGTATTTATCTTTAAAAAAATTATTAATTATGTATAAAAATTAATTTAGAACACCGTAACTTAGCTAGCGTCTGGACATAAATTTAATTGAAACTTGAAAAAATATTTTTTGAAAAATATTTTTTGAAAGTTGAAATTGTGTGTTAGACATGCATTTTATTTGAATTTTTTTTAAAATTTTGTGAGTGAAAGAAATTTTTTTACCCCAAAACTACCCTAAACTAGATTTTGGGAACTTAAAAAAAATTTAAAAAAAGAATTGATCATAATCTATGATCAAACAAGGTTTTCAAAACAAAAAATTAAAAAAAGTTGCCAAAATTTATAGCCAAATGAGAACTTAAAAAATTAAAATTCTGAAGTTAGATATGCACTAAAGAGGCTGAATACAAAAGAATTCAAAGCAGTAGATTTAAAGGTTAGAAATGCAAGACAAAGGTTACAAGAGTTACAAGGGCAGATGGGAACTATAAGTGCAGCAACACAGAGGTCTGAAGAAGAGAAAAAGCTAAAGAAGCAATTGGAAAAATGGATAACTATAGAGGAAAGTATATATAAGCAGAAATCTAGGAATCAATGGTTGAAGCTAGCGGACCACAATACAGCTTTCTTTTTTGCTAGCATGAAGAATAGAGTAAATCAAAATAAGATTAGAAGTCTCCAAAATACAGCTGGTGAAATTATTCAGTCTAGAGAAGCAATAGAAATGGAAATAGTGGGATTCTACAAAGGGTTATTGAGAGCAGCAGCTCATAGCATACTAGCCATTCAACCAAGCATCATGAAGGAGGGCAATGTACTAGACAGAAAGCAACAGTTAAAACTAATTGAATATGTTACTATGGAAGAGATACAACTTGCTTTGAAGGGAATAGATGAACTAAAGGCCCCAAGATGTGATGGTTTCAACTCAAAGTTCTTTAAGAAGACATGGGGGATTACATGGCAAGAAGTATCTGAGGCGGTGCTCCAATTCTTCAAACAAAGCTGAAATGTACAGACCTATTAATGTAACAACTGTTACCTTGATCCCTAAGATTCAACACCCTTCAACTGTCAAAGATTTCAGACCTATTTCATGTTGCACAGTATTGTACAAGATCATATCAAAAATATTGACCAGCAGATTGCAAGGAGTGATGGATCACCTAGTTGACAAGAGTCAGTCTGGTTTTATTCTTGGAAGAGTTATAACAGATAACATAATCCTAAGTCATGAGCTGGTAAAAGGGTATGGAAGGAAGGGCATCTCTCCTAAATGTATGATAAAATTGGACCTGCAAAAGGCATATGATTCTATAGAATGTGATTTCTTAGAACAAGTGTTGAACCAACTAGGAATGCCAGAGAAGTTTGTAAAATGGATCATGGTATGCATAAAAACTGTTTTATATTCTATCCTCATCAATGGAGAACCAATGGAACCATTTCATGCTAGAAGATGACTAAGGCACGGGGATCCATTATCACTTTTTTTTATTTGTACTGGGTATGGAGTATCTTACAAGAAGCTTTAAAACACTAAGGTATAAGCCGGATTTCAACTTCCATCCTAGGTGTGATAAGTTAAATATCATTCAACTGGGGTTTGCAGATGACCTGCTGCTATTCAGCAGAGGTGATACTATCTTCATTCAAATGTTGTTCAATTCTTTTATGGAATTTTCAAAGGCATCCGGATTAAAAGCAAATACAACAAAAAGCTCCATTTATTTTGGAGGGGTTCCACAGATTATACAGGAACATATAGTGTAGGTAACTAGATTTAGCAGGGGAGAACTACCATTCAAATATCTTGGAGTACCACTCAGCACTAAGAGGATATCCTTGCTACAATGCCAACCACTACTGAAGAAGATGCTAGGCAGGATCACTTCATGGACTTCAAAGTTCTTATCTTATGCAGGCAGATTACAACTGATCAAATCAGTTATATTTTCCATTCAAATCTGTTCGTCACAGATCTTTGTTATCCCTAAAAAAATAATGAATAAGATAGAAACAATTTGTAGAACATTCTTATGGACTGGAGGAACAGAGGCTTCAAAAAGAGCCTTGCTATCATGGGAAAAAGTGTTTTCACCAAAGTTAGCAAGTGGCTTCAATGTTATGGATATTCAAATATGGAACAGAGCTTCCATTTGCAAATTATTATGGAACCTATGCAAAAAGAAGGACAAGTTATGGGTCCATCTATATTATGGGAAGAAAAAGGAAGTTTGGGAGTGCAAACCAAAGAATGCCTCGTGGATGGTACAGAAAATAATCAAAACAAAGAGCTACATAGAAGAAGCAGGAACCAACAAGGAAGAAGTAATAGAATGGAACTACTTCTCTAGCAAGAAGTGTTATAATAGCATGTGTGGGCAATATCAAAAGGTATCATAGAGGCGACTAACATGCAACAACCTAGGAGCTCCAAAGTGGATTTTTGTGCTGAGTTTAGCTATACAAAACAGGCTACTCACAAGAAGCACACTACACACATGGGGGATTACAGATGAAGTAAGTTGTCCTATATGTACTGAAGCAGAAGAGACTATTGAACATTTATTGTTTAACTGTCGAATTACTGGAGAAATCTGGAGCAAGATACTACACTGGCAAGGAATAACTAGAGCTCCGATGGAATGGCAAAGGGAGATACAATGGGCTGAAAGCAATGCAACCGAAAACAATGCAGCAACTCAAGTCTATAGATTGACCCTGGCATGTGAAGTGTACCACATATGGAATGAAAGGAACAACAGAATATTCCAAGACCAGAAGAAAACAGTAGAAATGACAACGAGACAAATTGTAATAGAGGTAGCAATCACAGGATCGATGAATATTAAGACAGGGAAGAAAATAGCAGAAATAGATACTTACTATAAAGGAGGATAGAAGAAATGTAGAAAAGGGAATGGAACTGGGAATGCCCTGTTCCAGATTGAATTTTGTACATATTGCTATTAGTAAATAAAAACATTTAATTACTATAAAAAAAAATCTGTATCAATAAACTTGAAATCGTAACTCGGCTTCTAACTACACTTCTATGGCTAATTCTTCATAAGAAAAGTTACATCCATTATTTGCATTGACCTTGAGGCTAACTCGAGCTTACCCTACATTCATTCTAATTTGACTAAAATAATATCTTAACAATGGTAAATGAAAAAAAAAGAAAAATTATATTTGAAATTTATTTGATAAATTAAATATCATGTCACTATTTAAACATAAATAATTAAAAGAGGAAAAAGGCGAAATCAGAGAACATAAAACATTTCCATTTATAGCTTGGAGAGCAAGGAATTCGGAACCAGTTAAATTTACCGTTTTAACACTAATACCGAGTTTTCGAAGAAGACATTAAAGTTCCAGAGCTGTGTCATTGGCAGACCCGAGGTTCGGTCAACTGTGGGCCATACTAAACCTGTGGTTCGGTAGCATAGTTAAACGTAAATACTTATCCGAACCTAAAAGGCTCGGATCCAAGCCTCATTAGATAAATTTCCCGCTCATTCACACTCCAGTCCAGTCCAGCTTGCTTAATCCAGTGGAGAAAAGGGAAAAGTATTGGATACAAATAGAGAAACCAGAGCTTCTCCCTTCTTCTCATTTCTCAGTCTGAATACATTTTATCAATCTGTAACGCACTCAGAAGATTAACATTGACACTTAGATTAAGCTATATTTCTTGAAAATCGTGCTATTTTTTATCAAAATCATTTATGGGAAGGTGAGGATGAATCTCTGTGAATGGAACTTGAAATTTCGTGTTTGTTAGGCAAAGTTTTGTTCTGGGTTTTATTGAGTATGATCGAAGATGGTCTAAAAATCGATTTTTTTTTTTAAAAAGATTTTGGGGGTTTCAACCTTTTGGATGATCATTGTAGCTTCTGTTCTAAGATTTGTGCTTGTTCCTGAGATAATGCTGAATAGTACTGTAGGGATTTAAGATGTGGGTTTTCAGGGGTTTGATTTTTATTTTTTCGTTTTGGAATTAGTGGGCTCTGTAGCGGCTTGTGTGTGTGGGTAAGAGGAAAAAAAATATTAGTGACAGTATAGAATGCGAAAGGAAATTGAGTTATATGAATATCTAATGGGGTGTATAATGATATCCCAACGGATTTGTAAAGATTTGGACCACTTTATCTGTTGTCTTTGGGTTAGATGGTCAGATTACTTAACACTCTTGAAGATGTTAATGTTTGTATTGCTTTAATTGAGTGTGGTTAGTATTTGATGGATTACACAAGACACTAATTTCTCTTAGTAGTGTTAGTTCATAAAAAGTGCCTTCATGTGACCAGAAGGTCACGGGTTTGAACCGTGGAAACAACCTCTTGCAAAAATGCTGGGTAAAGATGTGTACAATAGACCTTTGTGGTTCGGCCCTTCACCGGACCCCGCGCATAAACTGAGCTTAGTGCACCGGGCTGCGCTTTAGTGTTAGTTCATAAAAAGGTGCCCTTTTGTTTACAAACCATATGTGTGCTTTTACGGGCTAGTTGCTAGAGCTGCCTGTTAGTTTAGTGTTGATCTGAAGTCCCAGTTTGTTAATCCCATTGTCATTCACCTTAGATGAAATTTTCACCCATTTTTGACATTGCCCCAATTTTTTGTTGGTCTCCAGATTCAAAGGGTGCTTCTTTTTGTGTATAGTGTTGCTTGACGTATGCATTGCACGCAATGCTAAAGCAAATGTTAATAATCAAAACATTATGTCGAAATTGTTTCATATGTAGTCTCATAGAAAGATTTGGAAACATTGGCCTACAGTCTAAACTGATAGTGATGCAGATGAATTATTAAATGTTTCAGCAATGCTAAGCGCGGTTATAGTTAATTGTTATATCTTTTTTAAAGCTGCAAAGAAAGTTTTTGATTTTGTTATATGAGGTTCTGAATCTTTTCTTGTGACTTTTGTCACCATAAGTTGATCAAATTGTCTCATCTGGTTTTTTCCTTGATGCAGATCTTGGCTTATTGATGGCAGAGGACTAGCAAGAAAAATTAAAAATGCCAGTGCTCCTGCTGCACATCAAATAAAAGATTGTGGCGCAAAGCGGCAATGCCCAAACTGCCATTACTGTATTGATAACAACGATGTAAGCTAATAAGTATCCTGCAGTAAAGTTTCTTCCTTTTCCCTTGGTTCAAGATTAGGCCAGCAAATACATGTATCATAAATTAGTTGCTTAATTCTGCTTTAAAATTTTGCTGCTTTCTGGATTCAGGTTTCTCAGGATTGGCCTGGTCTACCTGTTGGTGTGAAATTTGATCCATCTGATGTAGAGCTCTTGGAGTATTTGGAAGAAAAGTGCGGGGTGGGAAATTCCAAGCAACACAAATTCATTGATGAGTTCATTCCGACTCTTGACATTTACGAAGGGATTTGCTATACCCATCCTGAAAATCTTCCTGGTTTGTAAAGCCCCTAATTCTTTGATACACCATCTTCTGTTTGCTTTTAGCTGCATTATTCAAGTCAATATACTATGCTGGTAGAAATAGATTGCATTGATACATTGAGTAAAAAGTGTGCTACTCTAAATCCTCCATGTTTAGATGGAAAACACCCTTTCTTGTCATGGGATATGTCATTTTTACCATGATGTATGTATGGCTGCTGTCAGTAGCAGAGGGTGTCAAAATTTAAATTAGTAAATATACGAGGAAGTCAAGGGGATTCAAAACATAGTATATATGCATAAAAGAATAACTTTTACCTATCGAAACAATAGAATTTTCCGATGAAGGGATGTCAATGCTATGTGGCTCCGCTACTGGCTGTTGTTAATGCACAAGTGCACATAGCTGTTTGTGTTTTCAGTGGGAAGGCTATCTTCAGGAAAGGCTCTCTTACTCATGGTTTTTAGGGTTGCAGTTACCTTATAAATGACAATAACAACAACAACAACAACATACCCAGTATGATTCCACAAGTGGGGTTTAGGGCGGGTAATATGTACGCAGACCTTACCCCGACGTTATGGAGGT